CATCTAGTAACGGACCAATACCATGGTAGGGATTTTTTTGTTTCTAATATATTTTAAAAAACAAAACAAAACAAAAAAACCCTACTTAACTCTATTGTGTCATAGAGTTCTCCTTGTGTCCCTTGGCTTTCCTTATCAATTTTCTACACTTCCTAACTTCTGATTTATACTCATGAATACAATCACGTTCCCCTTCCTTCCATTTGTTATATATTATTATTTTTATTTTTTATAGCTTCCCCTCTAAACCAGGCTGGTTTTTTAACCAGCACAGTTGTCTTCCTCAATTGTGGGAGTGTAGCTTTTTGGGGATATAGTAAGGTGTTCTTAAATGATTCCCAATTATCATTCACATTTTTCTGATTAAATTCTTCCTCCCAGATGATTTGCCTAACAATTACAGTCAGCTTTATGAAATTGGCCCTGTTAAAGCACCAAGTAGATATATTACTAGTCTAGACTATTCTGCTTACACATTATAAATGTGATCAAGACCCAATCACTTGCACCTAAGCTCCCATTAACTTTTAGTTCTGTGATCAGTTCCTCTTTATCTGTTAGGACAAGTTCTAATATAGAATTTACCCCCAATCGGGGATATTGCAGATTATGTATTCCTTATGCCACCTGGTCTTAAACCAAACTTTGCACCCTCAATAATCTGTATGTTATTCCCTGATAACCAGAAACTTCTATGCTCAAACTCCGTTCACTTTTTTTTTTAACATCATTTTAATAAAATTGTTCGAGTTCCCTCATGCTGATTGCAGCACTTTTTGAGTTACTTATTGTTTTTCTAGTGGTGAAGGAAAACATCATTTCTGTAGTTTTCATACTTCTGTTTTGAAGGGGATAGGAGATTTCCAGTCTAAATTGACAACTGAAGCAGTGTCTGCTGGCTCCTATCTGTGTCGGTAAGATGTTCTCTGTTAATGACTGCTCCCAATGGCTTTTCATTTTTCTGTTAGAATGGGATTGTTTGAACAGTTCAGGCAAACTGGAAAAGAGCTGCATGGCACAGCTGTGCAGTTCTGATGGTTCTCACACTGAGAACACATTGAGTTAATAATATCATGAGTAGCAATGCATGGGAAGATACTGTAATGATGTACAGTATTGCACAGTTGACTAGTGGCTTGATTTTCAGAGGTGCTGTCTCATTGACTTCAGTGGAACTAACTTGGGTGCTTAGCAGCTCTGAAAATCAGGCTAATGGTGTATTATGAAACTGGGGCCAGAGGGAAAGGCAGACTATGTCTTCTTCTGAAGTATCAGATGTGGACAGCTGCCAAAGGTAGGATACTGGACTTGCCTAGACGGACCAGTGCTCTGACAAATATTTTGTTCCTAACAGAATAAATAATACTGTTGGGGAAAATCATTCATATTTTATTAGTCTTCCCAAGTTTAGCTGATAGTTTTATTAATAAACCAAATACTTTAAAAAAAAAAACCACCTAAATATGGTGTTTTTGTGACCATTGCATAATCTAGAAAAGAATATAATTTAAACAACGTGCAGTGAGAAATTGTAACTAGCTTCTGCCCCAATGCTGTCTTCTCCCGGAGTTACAAAGCAGCAATTACATATGTTGTTAGCTGGCTGGCAGCGGTAAGCGAGTGCTGGTTTTGCATGATGTATTGGTCGCCCACAGCTCACAGAAGCAGAGGTTTGTATAGATAGTCAGGGGACTGAGAAGATAGAGAAAAGAAATTCACCATTAGCCTTTCAGGTGGTTGGTTGACACTTCTAGGATTATTAGAGGCGATTCTGAGGCCTGGTTCTTAAAGTTGGTGGTGAAATCAGTTGAGGGATACTGCTGTCCACAGTCTCCCAGCCAGCATATAGAAAGCTGGTTGTCTCTTTGTGTAAGTACTTGCACAGGGTTATGCGAAACACATTTCGCTTCTGTGTTGAGGCTCCTCCCTTTATAATTAAAACCTCATCTTATCACAGACACACGTAGTCTTACCAGCATTAGTACGAACGAAGAAATCCATTTGAAAACAACTTTTTCTAAAAAGAGGAGTTGGACTGTTCAGTGAGTGACTGTCTAATTGGATGAACATTCCAGAGTACTTAATTATATGGTTTAAACCACAAAATGCTATGGGATTATGTAGACTAGTTAACACTAAATATAGATTCTTCTTCGAGTGATTGCTCATATCGATTCCAATTAGGTGCACACGCTGCATGCACAGTCGTCGGAAAGTTTTTCCCCTAGCAGCATCCATCGGGTCAGTTGTGGAGCCCATTGGAGTGGCGCCTTCATGACGCTCAATATATGACCCTGCCGACCCAGCATCCCCTCAGTTCCTTCTTACCGCCAGTGATGGTCATTGGAACTATAGCATCTTGCTCAGCAAGTTCTACCACGTTTCCCTAGCTTTGTTTGTTTGTTGTTCTCTGTGCTTGTTAGTAGTTAGCAGTTGGGCTGGGGGGTTTATCCTCTATCCCAACCGCTTTTCCTTGGGAGGGCTTACATGCCCAAGTCCCAAGGGTTCAAACCCTGCAAGTCCTGCATGCCAATGGGTGACCCCCACGGCGCTTGTCTAAAGTGTCTGGGGGAGGCTCACCAAGCCGATTGGTGCAGAATTTGTAAAGGGTTTCGCCCCAAAACCAAAAAGAAGCGAGACTTTCACCTCAAGCAGCTCCTTATGGAGACGGCACTTAGACCACCCCCTCCAGCAGTGCGGCAAGACCCGACACCGAGTTCATCGGTGCGTAGCGCCCTGGCAACAGTGGTGCAAGCGGCACCGCAGAAGGACTTTGGCAGAGACCCGCGGCACCACTGCTCCCCGGCGCTGAAACTGGTGGGATCGACCCGGCACCGCTCCCACTCCCCGGAACAGAAGCAGCACCGGAAGCAAGAAAGGAGCAGCTCTCCGTCTTAGAGGCAAGTAAGAGAGGTCCACCTCGGCAGCAGGAAGCCCTCCACTAGAGCCACGTATCTGGCAAAGTGGAAGAGATTCTCTTGTTTGTGTGACCAGCGTTGTACACCCCCTCTCCAGGCACTGGTACCCCTCATCTTGGAGTACCTCCTACACATGGAACAGCAAGGCCTGGTGGCATCCTCCATAAGGATACACCTCGCTGCTATCTCGGCCTTCCACCCAGGAGCCTCCTGTTGATCCGTCTTTGCCAACCGTATGGGTGGTCGCTTCCTCAAGGGTCTGTACCACCTACATCCCCAGATCAGACAACCTGTCCCTGCGTGGGACCTTAACTTGGTCCTCTCCAGGTTCATGGGGCCCCCATTCGAACCATTGGCAACTTGCTCCCTCCTATATCTGTCATGGAAGGTAGCCTTCCTGGTCACCATTACTTCTGCGAGGAGAGTGTCGGAGCTAAAGGCCCTCACCTCTGACCCACCATACATGGTTTTCCACAGGGATAAGGTGCAACTCAGGCTTCACCCGGCCTTTCTCCCGAAGGTGGTGTTGCACTTCCACACCAGTCAGGACATTTTCCTGCCTATCTTTTACCCTAAGCCTCATGCCAGTAGCCGGGAGCAGAGGCTGCACTCCCTCGATGTTCGGCAAGCGCTAGCTTTCTACATCGAGCGCACTAAGCCATTCAGGAAGTCGACCCAATTGTTCATAGCGGTGGCAGACCGGATGAAAGGGCTCACGGTCTCATCTCAAAGAATATCCTCCTGGATCACGTCATGCATCCGCACGGGCTATAAGCTGGCCAAAGTACCGGCCCCAGCTCTTACAGCACACCCCATGAGGGCCCAGCCTCGTCAGCAGCGTTCTTGGCACAGGTCCCGATCCAAGAAATCTGCAGGGCAGCAACTTGGTCCTCGGTGCATACCTTCACCTCTCACTACGCCATCGTCCGGCACACAAGAGATGATGCGTCTTTCGACAGAGCAGTGCTGCAATCAGCGTTTCCTTAACTCCGACCCCTCCGCCTAAGTAAGGCTTGGGAGTCACCTAATTGGAATCAATGTGAGCAATCATTCAAAGAAGAAAAAACAGTTACTCATCTCTCATAACTGTTGTTCTTCGAGATGTGTTGCTCATATCCATTCCAAACCCGCCCGCCTTCCCCTCTGTTGGAGTAACCAACAAGAAAGAACTGAGGAGGCACCAGGTAGGCAGGGTCATATATTGAGCGCCATGAAGGCACCACTCCAGGGGGCTCCACAGCCGACCCAATGGGTGCTGCTAGGGGAAAAACTTTCCGACAACTGTGCCCACGGCGCGCGCACACCTAATTGGAATGGACATGAGCAACACATCTCGAAGAACAACAGTTACGAGAGGTGAGTGACCGTTTTTTTGAGTCTCACCTTACATGTACTGGTATAAATCGGAAATAACTCCCATGGAGCTAAGGGAGTTTTCGCAGTGTAAAACTAATGTAAGTGAGAGAAGAACGAAGACCACAGTGCATCAGTGCATTTTCTTTTATATACCAGAGATTCTATTTCTGCAAGTCTCTCCATCCCCTAAGCTTGTTTGTGGCCTGGTGCCTTTCATTGTGGTTTTTTCTAATTTTTAGCCAACTGTAGTTGGATGTGTGCAAAATCTATGAGTTTGTGATTATCCTGTCTACTTATCTCCCTTGTCTTATAGGGGAAATCTCTCTTGCTTCATGAAATTCAGAAATTGCTGTACAAAAGAAATTGCAGCCAAAACAAAAAAAACAACCAACCAAACAAAACAAAACAAAAATCCACCACATTAGCTACTAGTAGATCAATTAATAATAAAAAATGTGTCAGATAAATTATTTGCTGAATATTTAAATAAAAATCAGTTCTGAAGCTCTTTTATTGTGATGTATCTGCATTTGACTTTTGGTATTCTAAACATGCCCAATCCCCATTGATATCAATGGTCTCTGCCACTTACTATAGGAATTTTACTTGGATATCAGTTTCAGAATTTGGCCACATTAAATTTACTAAAACCAATATCTCTTTAATGTCTACTGCTGTTTTCATATTTACATTTATTTTCCTTGTATTTTTTTTTTTTTTTTTTAGCCAAACAAGTGTGCCCAGCTGAAAAAATTAGCTGTGGAGACTCAAGCAACAAATGTATCCCATCATCCTGGAGATGTGATGGGGAGAAAGACTGTGAAAGTGGGATTGACGAGGCTGGTTGCACTACTGGTGAGTTATAATAATACCTAATGTCTATATAGCAGCTTTCTTCCAAGAGGCTCCTAAAGTGATTTATAGATTGCATATGAATGGATGACTTTTCTCACCAACAAACTCCACAGTCACTCTTTATTGACAATGCTATTCAGCCGATTTAGGAAGAGTTGGAGCTACTTGAGGAAAGTAGAGTAGATTTTGTGTACAGCTGACTATTCTGTTGTCACTCTAGTAGAATGCAGTTACAGAACACAGCTAGAATTTGGTTAAGATATACTGGTTAGCATGCATACTTGTGCAAAAAGTGCTGTAGGGGCTTAAATGGGCAACAGACCTTGCTTTTATGTGTCTTCCTAAAGACAGCATACTGCCTCAGGCCCCATACTGGATCATGGATGTATTGCTGATTCAGGGGCAAAAGAGTGCTTCCTCCTAAATCACCAACATCACTTCTTGCAGAGTCTCTGTTTTATTTGAGGGCTGCCATCCAGGTACTGGCTATGCCCACCTTTGGTCAATTTAGCAATTCTGACAAGATCACACAGCCAAATTGGTAAGGCTATTAACACTTGACTTTTTTGTGTGTGGCCCAAATGATCTCCCTTTCTTCAGCTAGGTTTCTCTTTGAAGTTCACCTATTTCTCCAGGACTGTCCGTTCTAATCTTCCAATATGACGTAGCTCATTTCTCAGACACTTCATGCGTTTATTTTTTTAAGTCAATGATATGGAATCCAAGTTGGAACCGCTGATAATTCTGGGTAACTACACCCTTAAGGGCTCTATCTCTTTCTTTGTTTTTTCCACTGGTGCCTCTCCATGTCTGTTGTCACGTTTTTTGGTCTTTGGGAAAAGCTTTTGTGTACTATGAGTGAAATATGTCCCCTAATTTTGATGTTATGGACAGTAATTTTTTCCCTAGCTCAAACATTTATTCTTTCATGATTAAAAACAAAAAAAGTCAACACAGTAAGTGGGAAATATCATAAGAATTTACCCAAGGGAGTTTTCTTTAGCCATTAATTACACATGTGGGAATGGGAATGCAGTGTTTAATGCTTGCTGATAATTCTATGAACTGTTGAGTGTATTTGTCCCGGCCAAGGGATTTGAATACCTCTATACCCACCCTCCGGCTCACTGGTGGTCTCTGCGGCCAATAAAAAAGACAAGCAGGGGTATACCAGTTCAACCCCCAAAAATAAAGAGGCCAAAGGGTTAGATCTGTTTGGAAGAAAAATTTATTCACCAGCCAGTTTGCAGTTCCAGGTGGTGTCCCTATCATCAATCACAGTTCACCTGGCCACTATCTTGGCTTTCCATCCTCCATTCCAAGGCAGGTCGATCTTCACTCATGACATGACAGCACAGTTTTTGAAAGGTCTACCCACACGTCCGGGATCCCTCCCTGGGACCTGAATCTCGTGCTGTCGAGGCTCATGGGGCCTCCCTTTGAGCCTCTAGCTTCCTGCTCTCTCCTGGAAGGTTTCATTCCTGGTCATGATAACGTTGACCTGCAAGGTGTCCAAGATCAGGGCACTTACTTCGGAGCCTATACGGTCTTCTACAAGGATAAGGTCCAGCTGCAGCCACACCCAGCGTTTCTGCCCAAGGTCGTTTTCCAGTTTCATACTGGCCAGGACATATACTTACCCGTCTTCTTTCCAAAGCCTCATGCATCAGATGAGGAGCGTAGGCTACACACCCTGGATGTCAGGAGGGCGCTGGGCTTCTACACAGATAGAGTGCTGAATTAATGATCTTAAAACAATTTTAGGACTAAAACCTGCAACCCTCATTTTAGTTGCCCTACTTACACAAACAAGGATTGCAGTATTGAGTCCATTTTTAATAGAAAGCTGTTTTAAATTGCTTGCATTTAATTTCATTTTTTCAATGCTCAGAAGTAACCCCTAAAAAGGTAGTAAACTGTATTCTAAGTATCACTTTATTTCAGGATAATTATGCTATTAATATGGATTTAGAAACCGCTGAGAATTTCCTTTCTGGGCATTTCAGTTGATGTATCCTTTGTTATCTTCAGCTTGTTCCATGCACATGTGAATTCTTAACATGGAAATTACTCGGAGGACAAATTTTATCATCTTCTGAAGCTATTAAGTAGCTGGTGTGAACCAAATTAGTGGCTTTTGGCCAGTTCTTTTTGGACAGGTGTCCATACCACAAAATAGCCCCCAGTGTTATGGATGCCAATTGGCAGCCACAGCGGAGAGGTCAAGGACTGAGCAGAAATGTAGAATGAGCTGCTCTCTCAATCTAGGACTGGGCTAAGGCACACTGGTAGGAAAGTATTTCTAATGTTTTACCTTTGCTGTGCGTTAAAACAAATAAAAGGCTTTCAGTCTCCAGGCCTGTCAGTCCAGCACTTTTCACATGAATTAAATTCACTTTTTAAAAAAGCAGACAGAGTGGAAAGTACTGAAGTGCTGCAAAGAAGGCACTTTAGATGTGGTTGTTTATCAAATTAAGGATTTTTTTTCTCATGGACGAGGACAAATATGTTGTCTTTGCTACTAAACGCTGAGTACTTGTGGAGGATTGATAGCAATCCTCTCTTTTATCCAAATCTGATAAACCTCACTAAGCTTGTCTACTGATACTCTGTTAACATTCCTGTTTCTTCTCTATTTAGAATCTTTCTTTATCCCTTTTCTCTTATCTCTTCAGTGAGCTTCATCCTGAGTTTTAAAATAAGTATATTTCTACGTCAAAATCTCTTTTCTATGCTGACTTTTTTGTTGTTGTTGTTTAAATGAAGCTTCATCCACAACTGTCAACTGCAGCCTCTCAAAGCAGAGCTCCCTGTCATACCAAAGGCTGCTCCTTTCACCGAGCCAGAAAACATGTCGAAATAAAAATATAACATAGCTCTCTGTATAAATGTTTGGATGGGAAGTTTCCTTGTGTGCGGAGTAATTTCCAGGTTGAGAGCTTGCCCAGGCCATAAACAAGCTGAAGATGACTGGGGATAGCAACTGAAATGTCCAAACTCCTAGCTGTTTCTAAATTCATATTAATAACATTCTTATTCTGAGCTAATGTGACACTTTGGACACATTTAAACTAGGGCCATTCCCATTTATTGATTAGAATAACTGGCTTTTAGTATTATCATCCTTCAGAAGATCTTATGCTGAATGTGGAAGTTACGAATGTCATTTCGGCCTATACTTCTGCTATTATATTACCGTGCAGTGCTGGTAGCATTACAGTGGCAGTTAGAGGCCCAAGGCAGGATCAGGCGTAACTCCAGACAGGCATAGTGCTAGGGCTGTACAAATGCAGAGTTGAAGGACAGTCCCAACAAGCTGTCTGGGTAATTTAAGGCAGAACGTCAGAGTGAGTAGAACAAAGAGTAGGAAAGAGCAGGGGAGAGAGAACCAAGGAAATGGTATTTGTGAGGCACAGATAGTAAGAAGTCATCCCTCCCCACATGTCAATATAGGCATTGGTGAGGCTCAGCTGAGCAGGCTCAAAGAGAAGAGTGAAGTCCAGAACTCAGTGGCAACAACAAATAATATGGCAACAAATCACAGGCTCTGGTTCATAAAAATTACAGGTTTTCTAGCAGAGATTTTTAGATGCTTGTTCTACAGTCAGCTCATGGACACAGCCTCAGGGCATTGTTATGTCACATAACTGGAGAACAAACCGATACGTTACATACTCCTCTTTCGCCTTTAGTCATGCGTAAAAGACTATTACAGAACTGTTGGCAAGATGTAAGGCTTTTAGGGCTAGATCAGTGATCGGCAACCTTTGGCTCGCAGCCTCTCAGGGTAAGCCCCTGGCGGGCCAGGCC